TTGTACTTTGATTTCTCAAATATAAGACTTCATGGCAACCCATAAAGTCATCAAGATTCAACTTACCTCACTATCCTAGGAGCAGTGGAGAGTCAACCTGCTCATCATCTTGAACAGTTTTCACTCGTCAAGGAAGGGCTGGTATCCTGTTGCTACAATAACTCAGTAGAGAGAAAACTGTGATGTCTTGCAGTCCCTTCAAGAAGAATATCCATTTCTCCTCTTTGATTCCAATAGGGTCCAATACTTTTGTGCAGCCTTACTCACTACAGGACTCCAGAGCCCGACGACTCTTGCCATAGCAAGATTCATATTCCTCTTAATTAGAGGAAACAATGTCTGTAAAACTCCCATAGCTTAAACGCTGCTTGGAGCAAGTGTTTTTAAAACATGCATGTACAGAGCAAAAGCTGGGTCAGTACTGGACAAGAAAACTTCATGGGTCTAGCAGAAAGCAAAACATGCTTCTCGTCTGCCACTTCAAAAGATGAAGAAGGTTTTCAGTCTAAATCCTAGTTTTGCTCTTGAAAAAAAATTTAAAAATTCAGAGAATAGACCTCTTCCTTCTCATTAGGACAGAAATATTGAAAATTACTCGTCAGAGTAAGCACAGGTACAATACCTCCACTTAAAAGCCTCCTCTCTGAATTTCATCATCCTCCCCCCATTTTCAAGTGACCATGCTCAGAACCAGTCCTGAAGGAGAAATGAGAAGCCCATTGCAGGCAAAGCTTAAAGCTGAATTCAAAATTATAAACCTGTATTTCAGATTTGACAATTTTAGCTTTCATGCAACACTGCCCCATTTACCAAAAGAAGAGCTAAGACTCAGGAATAACATTTCTCCCTTGCATGTAGTCTCACTGGGACACCTCTCTGTGCTTTTATAGATGTGTTATCTCCATTCTCCACACATCTCGCCGCTGGTGCTAGAAAGCTGCTTCACCAAAACCTGAGGGACAAAACTGTTCAAGTGGTGCGACTGACACTTTAGAGTTCAGGTGGTACAAAACCAGAAATACCAGGAAAAAGGATGTTTGCCTTAACAAAACATGCATGTCCCTCACACGCACTTTTCTTCTGGTAATCCTTAGGCATACACTGGAAAAGACCCTCTGTACAAAGCAGTCTCTCCACAAGACAACAGACCTGCCCCAGTTCACCTCCATTACTGTTCCTCTCACATCCCACCCCTCTCTCTGCACCAGGTTCTTTTTTTTCCCTTCTTAAATCTGTTAATCCCAGAGGTGCCAACTGGCTCAGCCACGGCCAGAGGCAGGTCCAACTTGGTGCCAGAGAAGCTTCCAGTAGCTCCTCACAGGAGAAGCTACCAAACCCCCACCACACATAACCATGTAGCAGGCCAAACACTTCACCAAGCTATACTGCCTTTAGGAAAAGCTCCATCGACTGCTATCCCCTTGCGTAAGCCAAACCACCTAGGAGTAAAGGCAGCGGCTCTGATGACTGACAGTCCTGTGGCCAAGCACGCCAACCCACGTCTGGGTGAGCGTGTACCGTGGTTTGTAGTCAGCCTCCTAGAGAGAAAAGGACCTGGTAAGTTTAGTGGGATTCCCAGAGAGCCACTGCAGGCTTAACCACATAGAAAAACCACACTCTGCAGCACAGAGCTAACTGCTTTCTCATAGTAGAAAAGTAATGAGAGGGCACTAATTGAATAAATTAATGAATGAAGAGGGAAGGTAAGTTTCCCAGCGTGTCATTTTCAATTCCTTTTATAGTGGATATTTCCGACATTAACTTCAAGTGTAAATTTACCTGGATTGCTTCAGATCTTGGCCAGATCTCTCTGTGCTAATGCCTGAGCTCAGAATGATGCCTGTTTTTAGAATTTCACCTTCTCTTCATGTACGGAATTAGCAACCTCTTTTTTCCTCAAAAAAACTGATCCAGCTTTCATGAGAGTTAGTTGTAAAACCAACATTAAAAAAAGCTACAGGACTGTGCTTTTGGTTAGGCAACATGGTTTTTTTTTAAATAAGAGGAAATGTTTGCCTTTTTGTGTTCCCAGCTCCTTGAAATGGGGTGCTTTACTTGAAGACCTGGGCGGACACAGGAGGTACAGCAGTAGGCTAGCACAGCCCCGGCGCTGTCTTGTTGTGACCACGCACAATTTCCGCTGCCATCAGGAGGCAGTGCCAGAGGAGAGCATCTCCATAAGCAAAATGGTTTTCATTTTCAAGAAAGAACAGGATGGATAAGCTCAAGCAACTACACTGACTATTAATAATGTGTTTGAGAACAGAGCTTTTATTTTTAAGTATATTCACCCATGAACTTCCCTTTCCTGAGAAAATAAGTGTCCTCACCTTCCAAAGGAGCAAGTGGAATTGGGGTACTTCACAGCAATTATTACCAAAAAATATATTTTTTTTAATAACTGGATATATACTGGATATACTCTGTGGGATTTCACTTACCTTAGCTATGTCTACACAAGTTACACAAACAAGAGGTTTTAGATAATACTCTTATAATTATTTTTTTATTTAAGATAATAGATACTTGAAAGATATTTAACCAAAAACACAAACTGAAGATAGACAGGCATGCCTATCAGGCTGAATATACCCTTACCTCTCTGCTGTAAAAAAATGTACAGTTCCATCATGCAGAATGATGGAACCACAAGTCTTA